GCTTTTTTCCCAGCCTGAAGAAGCCCCGGTTGTGCCTTTCTGCTCTTTGAAGTCGGCAGAGCTCAGCGAGCGGCCTCGCTTCCCATGCGGCCGGGAGGGGCGGCAGCGCTGGGCTCCGCTCCCTCCCGCTCCCCCGCAGGCTCCCTTCATTAAACCGCTCGGGGAAGCTGAACGGCGCGGCAGCCCTTCCTGCATCCCCCATAAAGCTGACAAGCAATTATATCCACTGAAGGGAGCCGTGCTGGGAGAGCAAAGAAAGGCTCGGAGAGGCGGGGACAGCAGCTCTTTTTGTACCCCCGCCCGGGGCGCGGGCAGCAGCGCTTTGTGGTGAACATCACACGGGACCTTACGGGATGCTCCGTCCCCTCGCAGGTCGCGTCCTTCCATCTCCCGCATCCGCAGGGAAGGCTGCAGGGCAGGAACAAAGAGTTACCAGGATTTAAGGCTGACATTCGCTGCTTCCTGCAGGAAAGGGCACGCAGCGTGCAGGTGGATGGCACCGAAAAGCCGCTTCAGAGCCTCGGCGGGCGCTCTGCTCGCTCAACCACGGCCTGAGGGCTCTGAAGCAGCTGAGGCTTTCAAGCAGCAAAGGAGCTGCTTGTGGGAGAGGAGGTAACTGAATTGGAAAATGCTGTCAGTATGGTGTAGCCTTGCCCATAGAGGAAGCATCTGCATTTCACCCCAGGCACTCGCGAGCAGCTGGAGTTTCCAGGATGGTTGAATTCAGAAGGAGCAGGTTTGGGGGGAAGCTGAGCCCCTTGGTTGTGGAGATGAGTTCAGGAATACGCTCTAATTGCAAACCTACAGCCTGACCACAGGGCTGGGCTGGCAGAGGTGACCTCCAAGGGTGTGACATTTGCACAGACTCCTCCTTTTACTCTTAGCAATGATTCCCCTGGCAGCTCGTGTGGCAAAAGACAGCAACACGGCTCTCACCTCCATCCCCACCATAAGAGCTCTAAGCAGAAGGTGCAAATCGAGACTGACTTCAAAAAAGAGAGACACAAGAGCAAGGAGAGGGATCACAGCAGAGGAGCCAGGAGCTCTGAGCTCCTCCCAGCGATGGCTTTGTGGCCCAGGTACCTCCCTGATCCTGGAGGTGGCAGGAAAGACCCCCCCGGTGTCTCGCACACCCCCTCTGCTCACCCCACCACCCTCCAGCACCAGCAGTGCGACGGAGACAAACCTTGGCCCCTTTCTCCCTCTCCATCCCATCCACGTTACAGCCCCAAGGTTGAAATCAAGATGCAGGGGGTGGCTTCCTCTTCCTCACACCAGCAGCTGCTGCGTTGACAATGAAAAGCTGGGGAGGAATCAGCCCAAAGCTGTAAAGTGTGGGTTGCTTGGGTTGTTTTTTTCTCTCTCTCTCTCAAATAAAAAGTCCATTAATAACCAGCAAAGCGTTTAATGAGAGGCTAGAAGGAGTCCTCAGCATTAAGAGGGGATTAAGGGTAATCTTGGTTGCTCATGCCTCCTTGCTGTGCGGAGGCAGCTCTGACCTGCTCTTCCCAAAAGGGCCCAAGGTGGGCAGGAGGGAGGTAGGGCTGGGACCCAGGGGTGTAGGACTGCGACTCACCTGGTGAAGGGGCCCTGTGGGAAGGAAACAAGACACGGGTTAAACACGATCGGTTTTGAAGCAGCCAGTCACGTTTAAAAATCATCATCATTTCCTCTTAATTAATCGGGGCTTCCCCTTAAAGACGGAGCTGCAAGTTCTGCTGACATGAAAACGAGCATCTTTTCATCCAGCCACACAGCTCCAACTGAAATTTGGCCCAACAGATCCCCCGCCAGTTTGCAAGGTGGGATTTGCTCCGGCAAACGTCGCAGCCTGTGCGCTGGGGTGCAGCTAAACCCGAAATCTTGTCCCGTATGGGTCCCTTGCAGACCAGACAGGGGCTGTGCTGTCCTCAGCATCTCTGGCTAAACACGTATGAGAAAGGTCCAATGCACAGCGTGTTCCCCCTGGGGCCATCCCACCCTCTCTGCTGGCTCCCAAAAGGCCGCAGGGCAGAGGAGCAAAGTTTCCAGGAGTCTCATATGACTCCAGAAGGAGCCAAACGTTTGGATTTGGCACCTCAAGGCCCCGTTACAGCGATGCTGACCCCCTGCAGCCAGCCGGGAAAGAGAAATGGCATCTTCCACACCTGACCTCAGCCAGGCTGGCACTGCAAAGAGCCGCAACTGGCCCGGGGAGCCAAAAGCGGTGTGGAGTACCTTGGAGCAGAGATTAGATTTTAGAAAGTCATGATCTCATCATGCACCTCCTGCGAGCGGGGAGAAAAGCGTTCTCACGGATTAAAATTTGGGTTCCCAATTATTCATTCAGCTCCGGGAGCAGGAAACTCATTTTCATGGCTTTGTGTTTCCGACAAAACGCTGCGCTTAATTCTCTTTTCATATCGCTTTTATACTGGTTTGACATCACCGATTTATGTGAAGCTACTCCTAATCTGTGGTAGTGACAGGAGAGGCACGCTCAGATCTTGCTGTCCTAGATTTCCCTGTATTATCTGCTGCCTCCAACTCCCCCGGCTCTCTCTCAGGTATTACTATGAAGGGGGTTTTCTAGAGCGCTCTCGACCACCCACACCAGCCGATTTCTCCCCTGCCTACGTTCAGATTTCTGCTTTGCAGGCTCTGAGCCCTGGGCTGCAGCTTTGCCGAGTGCTTCCCGTCTCCTCGCAGCCCTCGCACCAAATCCCAGAGAGGTCCTTTGCTCTCCCCCAGCTCTGCTGGGTGTTTCCAACTCCCCCACGTTTTAGGTCATCAGGAAATTTAAGACACTTTTTTATGCTGTGCCTCCCACAAAGTCACAGATCTCACTCGGGCACCAAGCAGGGTGTGCTGTGTGTCCCCTTTTCCCACCCCAAAGCTTTTCCCCATACTCTGCTCTCTGTTCCTCTGGGGTTAATTCATTCCTTTTTCAAACCTAAGCTGGGTAAATCAGTGGTAGCTCCTAAAAAACCTCCCTTAGCTCCTAAAAATACCTTGGAAACACAACCATGTCGGGATGTAACTGCACAGCTGTACTTTGAGAAGGGTGAAGTGCCCGGCTGCAGCTGGAGACTGTTTTGTCTCCCTCTCTCCACTCCGTCATGTCCTCCGCATGTTCTAGCGCATTCACCAGGCGTGACTCACAGCGTTCCCGGCTGCTGACCGACCCTTCCTAAAATTAGACCCCACTCTGGGTTTGCTGACGGGGGGAAGGTGAGCAGCCGCAGCCCCACGTCTCTTCCTCGTGTCACAGCCGGGACTGGAGCGCAGGCGGAGGAGGACGAGCTCTCTCCTCTGCTCTGCCCGTCCTTGGCCCCGCTGCCGCAGTGGAGGATGAGGATGATGGATGCTTCTGCTCTCTGATTGCTGCCTGGAGATCGCTGCTTCATTGCGTGAAGGCCATCCCCTGAGAGAGGAGAATGCTCTGAGTCGATGCTGACCTGATCATCTGCTCCAGAGAGGAAGAACTCCTTCCCCGGGGAGACCCTGGAGATCACTATTGCTTGCTGCTCCTCCTCCTGGAGTCCCATATTCACGTCAAGTCAGCCATGCACCTTTCAGTCACCTTTTTTGCTCAGCCCAGGTCCAAACAGCTTGTCCAGACATCAATTCCTACTGGTCTCACTGGTGTGTGTGGGTCTCCCATCTGCCAAAAAGGGGAGCTCTGGAGGGCAGGACTCCAGGGGTGATTTGGGGAGCAGAGAAAGGAATAAGCTCATCGCTCTTAAGTATAGAACAGCACTGACCTTCAACTGGGGAATTCTGTGCTCCCGTTATTTCCTCTGTTCCCGGGGGAACATTCACCAGGAGTGAAGTCAGTTGTGAGGAGACACTGACACTACCACTGGAATATTTTCAGCCACATTCAGACGGCTGGGCCTGACTATAAATCCCACAAGTGTTACTGGAGACGTGCACACATGCATCCTTCTTTTACCGGTGACCTCAGCCCCAGCCCCAGCAAGGCAATGTTGTGCAACGGCTACAAAGCAATAGCAGTATTATTCTTTGATAGGATTAAATAAACCTGACTCCTTCTGACACTACTGACCTCCTAGGGGCTGCTGGAGTCCTAGCAGTCTCGTTAGCCTTTGGGTTTGGGGCAAAAGCTGGAGATTGTGAATTAAATTTCACCAGAGGAGAGGGAGCAAGAGTCCAACCTGGACTGGAGGGACTGTGCCAAGCATACGAGGTAAAACTTTTCCCTGGAGATGCCAGGAAGGGCTTTGCAAATTGAGAAGGGGCTCGTGGTGAGGGTGTGCAGGAGCCCCGCTGGTCCAGCAGAGCCCAGCAGATCTGCCCTGCAGTTGAAAACTCGGCTGTGCTCTGGAGTCAGGAATAAACTGAACACGGAGCCTTAGGCTGCTGCTTTCACGGGCTGCCCTTTTCCCATCACAGCGGTCCAGCAGGGCTGCTGCAGCATGCTGGGTCCTGTTAGCTCTAAGCACACAGTCACTGCAAGCCCATAGTCACTGGGTGTCCTCCGACCATCCGAGAGACAGCCCATCAGCCGCAAAACATGTATAAAAAAATCTCCTGTCAAACTAACAGGGAAAAGCAAAAGAAACCCAGCCATTTACTACTCCTGAGTCTCAAACCTCCGGGGTGCTCATCAAAGCATTCAGTTTTCATACTCGCAAGGCAGATTTTGCATTTCCTCCCAGCTGTCACTGTCAGACCGTAATAGGAAACAACAGAGAAAACGTGGTGCGTGGCTGGGCAGGACGAGATGAATGAGCTGCTCGGGGGCTGCTGTGTTGTCAGAAGAAATTGTTTCCAAGGGTCAGATATTTCCCACACGTCTAACGCAACGCGTGTTCTCAGCAGAGATCTCCTAGACCCTCACGGGTAACTGAGACATGGAGAACCTGCAATTTCCAGGTCCTGTATCCAGAACCATGTACAAGAAGGACCCTTCCCCACTCCCTTCCCTGCCCTTGCTCTGCCTCCTGCCCGCGGCTGTGACTTTGCCTCTGTAAAGGCTCTGCTCTCCCTCCTTGCAGACAGCCCATCGGCTCCAGTAAATGTCACAGTCAAACACCTGAAAGCCAACTCAGCCGTTGTGACTTGGGATGTTCTGGAAGATGAAGTTGTCATTGGATTTGCAATTTCCCAGCAGGTACGGTGCCGACAGTTACCCAGTTTCGGTCACGTTCATCTTCACCCCAGGTCCTCTCAGTTTCCAAATTCTCTTGCTGCAGTTTAAGCCCATTTCTTCTCGTCCTGTCCCTCGTGGTCTGGGAAGGGGACTTGGCTTCCCGTCCTCTGTGCAGCAGCGCTTCACGTGTTGGTGGCTGCAGAGAGGAAAGGGTCCGACGGTCTCCGCGTCCGTGGTGGACAGGGCAGGAAGCAGTGGTCTTAGATGACAGCGGTGCACAAGGGAGGCCTCTCCACCACTCTGTGCTCTCCTCTCTCGGCTTCCAGAAGAAGGACGTGCGGATGCTGCGCTTCATCCAGGAGGTGAACACCACCACCCGCTCCTGTGCCCTCTGGGACCTAGAGGAGGACACTGAGTACATTGTGCATGTCCAGTCCATCAGCATCCAAGGCCAGAGCCCTGCCAGTGAGCCAGTCCTCTTCAAGACCCCCAGGGAAGCTGAGAAACTAGCCTCTAAAAATAAAGGCAAGTGTGGGTGAGTTCCTATGTGGCCCCTGGGACGCCCAGGCAGTGTAGGGCTCTCTGCAGAGAGGAAAGCAGGACCCTGTGCGATGAGAATCGCTGGGTTAAACACACACAGGGCCCTCTCACAGCCCCATGTGTACAAGCAGGATGCCCTGAGGGTGCCCAGCAGACAAGGCTGAGGGGTGTGCAAAGCCATAGGGTGATGCTGCCCTGTTGGCTGCTCATTTCTCACATTTCAGATGAGGTTTAGGTGAGGAGGAGAAGGTTTCCAGCCCCGGAGCAGTGTGTCCAGCATCCTTGCAAGTGGAGAATGTCAGGGGAAATTCCTGAGCAGCCAGTGAAGTCGGGTGGAAGCAGACCCCTGGATGGCACTGGGCACAACTTCTGTGCTCAAGGGGCACCCAGGGGGATTTGCTGAACCTCCTGTGCTTGGATTCCAGGACAGTAAGGGAAAAAATACCCAAAGCCTCCAACTTTTCCTATGTTTCAAATATGACTGCCAAATCACAGAATCACAGAAAGCTGGGGTTGGAAAGGACCTCTTGAGATCTCCCAGTCCAAACCCCTGCTCAAGCAGGGTGAACCAGATCGGATCCAGTTGGGCTTTGAATATCTCCATGGAGGAAATCAGGCACTTCCTCACTGGCAACTCTTATTCCTCTTAAGCCAAACCAGATTATTGAGGGGTTTCTGTCAGCAAGAACCTCTGCTTTGTGAGGCCTGGGGAGTACAGGGGTCTGGGATGTAAAGGATTACTCCCGGCCTACTGAGGACCCAGCCAGTTGCAGAGCTTTTGGCCATGGTTCCTAGGATGTTTTGAGTTCTTGACTCTTTCTGCTAAAATGATTTGGTGTCTGTAAATACCGAATTGCTGTTCATCTGAAAGCACTAAGAGGAGCACTGCTTCCCTCCCTGGAGGCCTGTACTGTAATCTTCTTAGTGCTTTGAAGCCAAGGAGGTGCATTACGCCCTGCAAAAAGGCTCCGCTCATTTCTGAATCCCATGGCTCCACTGAAAAATATCACGCCAGGCTCCACACTCCTGAGCAGGCAGAGGAACCGCTGAAGCATGCAAGGCTTCGTGACACGCACAGACGGCACTAACAGAGCCCAGAGGCAGAGCAGAGCGGGCCGCCACGGGGCCAGGCAATGTGGACTCACCCCGTGGCAGCTCCTCTGCGGTAAGGGCCCGGTGGTCCCATCTCCCTGCTCCTCCTGTGCCCCATCTCCTGCAGGTTGTCAGGGGCGGTTGCTGCGGAGCAGGTGATGCTCTGCAAGTTGAAAGCACAGCTCCTGCTGCTGGCACGACTGAGGGGCGAGGATGCTTTCCCTGCTAGCTGTGACCCCGATGCACTGATGATTTGAGTCCTGGGTGCTGTTAAACCAGTGTTTAGCACAGCCCAAGCCGTGTGGTTGGGTTTCACGATCTCTCTTTCCCCTTGTGCAGATGAGGTGACAATGAAGGAGATGGAGAAGAAAAACCAACAGCTGCGAGCGGGGGAAATTCTCATCATTGTTGTGGTGTTGTTTATGTGGGCAGGTCAGTTCAACCCTTCTGTCAAAAGCATGCAACATCCCCAGGGCCTGCTGGCTGGCTTGGTTTGCATGTGTAGTCACGCCAGACCTGAAAAGAACCCCATGCTCCCATGAAAAGTACTGCATATGCAGCTGTAAGGGCACCTCAGTGCCCTCTGCAGCATCACGAGTGGGGCAGTGCCAAAAGCAGGTGAATCGGTGGCCTGAGCTGGGCCAGCAGGAAGCAGATAATGGACTTGAGGAACCCAATTCCTCCATGGCTAATCCTGTGATCTCAATTTTTCCAGAATACACTGATGGTAATGCCCCCAGCCATCCAAGAGGCTGCCTCGAGCCCTTCCAATGCTGCAGGTCACTGTAATTATCCGGCTATTATATGACTCCAACTCTCATGCAGAACAGAAATTCAAGAGTCTCCCATTCAACACCCACTCTTATATGTACACTAAAACCCACTTCAACAGCAATTAAAATAATGAGAGCGCTGAAAGAACAAACGGCCCCAAACATCAAAACACCAATAAACCCAGATCCTGTCAACATACAAAGAATAGCATTTAATAGGAAGAGGAGGGACATTAGCAGAAACATATTAACCAGCATGAAGGAAAAGTCTATGTGAATTTGGGGCGGTGGGAGGGAGAAGGATCAGCATTAGCTGAAAGCTGCTATCCAAAAAGGTGCTTTGGAGCCAGATTCTTGGCAGTCATTGGAAATTCCGCCCTAGTCCTCCTTGCACCTTGCAGCCACTAATCCTTTTAATCCAGACTACGAGACAGCTATGTAATACATGATTTTATAAGCAAGATCACATCCCCAGCTAGAGCTGAGAACACCCAGTGCTGTGGAAGGTGCAGTAAAATCATCCCAGGGCCGCTTTGCTGTGGGTGCGACGGGCATAGCTGGGCACATATGTTAACACAGCCTCAAACACTGCCAGGTAAATGTGAAGATCCCTCCCTGTGACCTTCTGTAATATTTACAAATAGATAAATTAAATTTTAGATCTTTGCCAAGAGTTTTCCAACATGAGTTTGGGATCACTTTTCAATAGAGCTTACAGCAAATTGCCCTTGGGAGAGATCTGGCTCCTATGGTTTACGCTAGCAAATAGGGAGAGGAAAATGCTCTGACTCCTGCTCCATCAGCCGAGCACGTCTGAAGTGGCTGCAGCCAGCCCTTCAGCTTGCTCAGTCTGGAAATTACATGCATGAGTTAATGGGAAATAAAGTTTGCACGTTTGTTTTCTATTTCGAGCCCCAGCCTCCCCTGGCTGCCGTCAGCTGCTGCTCCGGCTGCAACCTAAAACATTCATGAAGCAACATTTGCTCCCCGCAGAGCATGGGGCCCAAGGGGGATGGGTTCAGGTGATCCGAGGAAAGTGGCAGGAGGGGAAATCAGCATTCCAGCAAATCCATGAGCCATAAAAGACAACCTTTGCCGCTCGTATTTAGTCCTCTTGTCCCAGTCAAACCACTTCTCCACGCACAGAGAGTGTAAATGGTTGCACAGAGAATTGTCCTGACGGTATCGAGTGGCTGCTGACTGACAACTTGTCATTTCAGCCCTGAGCAAAACGTTGTGTCCTTTAAAGACGGTGTCTGTCAGCTCTGCTGCTGGAAACCGAAGCAATCCCGAACTGATAGGGGCCGCACCAGTTCACTGCAACCGAGGGTTTAACCATTTATACCAGGTTGTGCTGAGGTGAGAGGCCTCCAGGGAGAGACGTGAAGAGGAAACCACTCACTGACCTGAGGGGCTGGAGGATTAATGATGTCCTCTGCAGTTCTGCAGGGCTTCTTACAAGTGAATCCAGGTGGCACAGAATCAGATCCACGTATTTTTGCCCTGAGTTTCTCATGCATTATTTGCATTTCCAGAGACTGGACAGCAATTATTGCTAAAGATGATAACCCAACGAGAGCCTAAACGAAACGAAAATGTTTCCAAAACCTCTAGTCCATGATCTTTTCAGCATTAACGTCAAGTTTTAGTTGTTCCAATTTAAATGCCCTGCCAGTAAAAACAATCATGAATAATTACATGAAGCGACTGAACAACTGATTCATCTCCCACTATTCTAATCTAAAACTCAGATCAGCGTCAGAACAAAGAATTTGCCAATACCACAGTTTCCCTTCTAGACAGATGACAGCTTTAAAAAGGAAAGTGTGTGTGTGAGGGGAAATCTCATGGGTTCTTTGCAAAGTCTCCATATGTAAAAACCTCTTTCCTGCTTTTAACCTGGCCTGGCCATAACCTCAATATAAGATGAGGTTTTAGTAAATGCAAAGGGGAACCGGTCTGTGCCCAGGGCTCTGAACTGAGGCCCAAGCTCTGTCTGTATTCCTGGTATTCACAGCACTTTGCCTCTTTGTGCCTCAGTTTTACCATCAGAAATCACAGAAGAGGTGCCTGTGCCAGATGTTAACCTATTCTCCTAGGATCAGCTATTTGCTCACACACGCAAGACAGAATTGGGACCGCTGTGTTTATCAGTAACACCCGGGGGCAGCTGCCGTGACACCACCTCACTTCATGAAGCAGTTTGTGACGACCTGGTGAAAGCGTCACCTGTGCTTTGCTATTAGAGGAGCTGGAATATTATTCAGTAAGAGAGAAGCAGCATCTGCCTGGGTCTACTTAACCCCTGCCTTTGGAGAAGTTATCTGGTCAAAAATGTCACCCACAAGCTTCCGAGGAGGACATCTGCAGTCGTCTTACGCGTCATGGCTGCCCCTGCTTTCCTCTTCATGTGCCTGCGTGTGTGGGAGGAAATTTCCACCGGCAGCGTTTGCTGCCGTCACTGTTGCGCATTTGCAGATGTTGCCCTGCTGCTCAAAAGGCCCTGGTTTGTACCACACGCAGGCAGGTACCGTACCTGCCTCCTCTGCCAGCCCCAGCTCCTCCTCTTCACCCCAGAGCAGAAAGATCAGAGGAAACGTTTGCACTAACCAGAAATTCCAGCAGCTCCTCTGGTTGCAAAGCAAAGATCCCATTTAACCGCACGGTTCATATCGATCTCTATCCAAACGTAGGGTTTAAAACACTTGTCCCATTTAATCACAGAGAAGTTGGATTATAATTAATCTATCCTTCTGCCTAACTAGTTTGGTATGGAGAAGGAAAGAGCCAGAGGGCTGTGTTAGAAAATGATCCTTGGGAGTGATTGTGAATGCTGCTGGGATCAATACCAGAAGGCACAAAGGCAGGCAAGGGATCTGTGATCTCTGCAGGCTCCAGGGGCTGAGCTCATTTGTGTGATCGCTAATGCTTTTTCCCGTTAGGGGTGATCGCCCTGTTTTGCAGACAGTACGACATCATCAAAGATAACGAGCCAAATAACAGCAAGGAGAAAGTCAAGAGCGCCTCGGAGAACAGCACTCCCGAGCACCAGAGCGGAGGGCTCCTCCGCAGCAAGGTGAGATGCTGCCGGCACGCAGCGGGGACAGGGCAGACAATCAACTTCCAGCTGGGCCCCAGCTAAATTGCCCAAAAAGCAGCCTCTGTTACAAGCATCCTCACCCCAGCATCCTCCCTTCCAGCTGGGATGCGGAAAGGAAACACCCCACACCCATGCACGCTTCATTAGTGGTCTGAGCCCCCCAGGCGCATGAGGACACCAGCACTTCACTCCCACTCCTGGATTAGCCCGAATGCCCATCGCTAAAGCAGATTTTAATCCGTATTTCTGAAATATCTGAACATCTCTGGGAGAAAAACGCACTGAGCAATGCTGCAGCCTCTGAGCTGCTTGGGTCTTGCTCTTGCAATCAGCTGAAGAGCTGATCAGCAGGAGCATGGCTGATGATACACGTGATGTTAAGGTTATGCCTTATGCATAATGTCAGCAGACTCGAGCCTATAATTTATAGCAACTTGTTTCAATCAATGTAACTTTCTTGTGTTTCTATTCACAACCTTCCCTCTGGCTCTTCCCCACCGCTTCACATTTACTTTTTATTTGAAATAGCCCACTAATTCATGCTCATTCAGAAGCAGACAGTGACAAACCACGCCACCCTAAAGCCTCCACTCTGCCCCTTTTTCAGTATCCCGAGAGGATGGCAATGAGAACTTTTACAGAAACAAAACCTGACCAGCACACTGCACTCCGATGTGGGTTTTTTCCCCTCTCTAGCGATTCCTATACATCTTTTCTTCCTTTGTCTCCTTTTTTCTCTTCTAGTTTCCAAAAAACAAGCCCTCAGTGAACATCATTGAAGCGTGACAGTCTGCCGTCTGATCGATGGACTCCATTCCTCACCCTCACTTTCTGCCTCTGAGCCTTGACGACTGGGGAGGTGAAATATTGTCGGAGCAATTTGGAAGGAGCCCGAGCGATTGTCACTTGCTGGCATCCGCCTCCTCGTCTGTGTTCTGCAAAACATCTGGCCAGAAAGAAAAACCCTGCAAACCCAGACAAACAACCCAGACAAACGACAAAGATGGGAAAGCATCAGTGAGAAAGCTGCTGCTGGTGATCCTGCACCGGACTCGTGAATCACCTGGGCCGGAGCAACTTCTCACGCACTCCTCTCCACCCTCGCACTCCATCTTCTGGAACAATTTTCCTGTCTCTGGCAATGTACAAGGTTTTGTTGTATCTTTATTTTGTCTCACTGTCACTACATCTTGACAGTATTAAGGTGAGCTCAGGCATCAGTCACTGTCACTCCTCTCCGAGCAAGAAAGGAGGAAAGCTCATCGCAGACACAGCCAGCAACCAGATTTTGGGTGCTGCGTGCTCTCGGCTTGCTTTGTTCCATTGATGTGTGCTGTGTAACACGCCTTGCAGGTGGGTTTTTAAATCGAAAAAAGGCATACCCCAGTTTCCATCCCCACTGCGAGAACCTCCCTGGTCGTTCTCCAGTTAGGCTGGGGCACGTCTCACCGCTGCTGTCTCTCCTATCTCGCACTGGTGCTCTTCATCTCAGATAATCGGGGCACGCCGAGCACTGAGGCACAGACCAATATGAGGGGACACCAGAAGCCATTCTTTAACTTCCAGGAGAATTTCAACCATTTTCTTCATGGTGTTTTCAGCTGGGCCTGAGTCCACCACCAGTGTGATTAAAGGTCCGTAAAAATGTAGCCAGTCAGCAAAAAAAAAAGAAGATTAAAAAAAGAAAAAAAACTCACGATACAGGTTGCTATGCAAGGTCTCCGGTGGCAATTGCTATTTACTGCGAAAGGCTCTTGCCTAAGGGACCTGTTTCTGAGGGCTTAAGTTCTTCAAATGCTTCTTTTGGTAGGGTTCCTGTGGGAAGGTCTGGTTCTCCTTACACGTCCCGCCTGCACTATTTCTGTGACGTTGTAATGCCAGATACCTGCTGGGGTCCTCCAGAAAAAAGGAGGACGATGAATGGGAAAGGGGCTGGGGTTCTCCTCTCTCTTATGATGTGCTTGATGTTTGCAAGCTGACAGGATCCCTGGAAATGCTGGTGCTCTGGAAGTTGGTAGATGCAAGTCCATCACATGGAAAAAGATTTACTCTTTGTAGTGTGCCATGGGGTATCTGTATTTATTTAATTACTCCACAAGACCACTCCATATGCACTAGGGGATAAGGCAAGGTCCTACTTGTTCCATCAAACACCGCGGCAGGTTGGCCTGAGCAGGATTTGGATCTCATTATAACAAACCTGCACTCGGATGAGCCTGGGTGAAAAGTCCCAGTGAAGCAAGAGGCTGGCAGGAACAGAGCTCTGCCACCTCTCCTCTTCCGCTGTCACCAGCCTTTCCAAAATTTGGGAGGAAGGCACTGGGAAGTCTGCTTGCAGACGTGCGGGTGAACACGCAAGGGCTCCCCTTGTGCCGGTGTCTGAAGGCAGGCCAACCCCACAGGTCTCTTCAGTGGATCCTTTGCCAGAACATACTCCTCCATCACCAAGAGGGAGAGGTCAACACCTCTGATACAGACAGAGCAATAAACATTTTATAATGTACAATAAAAGATTAAAGGCATCTCTTGTGTCCTTGTAACATCTGAATTCAGTAATATTTCATCTTTGCCTGCTTCGAGCAGCACACACACACCAGAACAGGGATTTTCACTGTGTTTCCCAGGGACTACTGCACAAAATGTTTTCTCAGTGTAGAAAAGCAGGAAGGTTCAACACAGTTCACCCTGGTTGCAGAACGAGGGGAAAAACCACTCGCAATATAAATAGCACCACAGCCATACCTAGCAAGATTCTTCAGACGTGTCTGTTATCTCCTAAGCAAGAAATGGCATTTGGAATCCAGACCCCTCCAAAGGGAGATTTAGGACAGATGGTACAGCATGTGCAAAACGATAAGGGAGATGCTCTCTCATAATCCTAGAGCAGACAGCCAAGCTAGCAGCCCGCAGAAGCCTGCTAGGGAGGAAATTCAGCCTGGTAATTTGGCAGGTCTGGGGGCAGGGGGTTATGTGCCTGTTTTTAAAGACAGTTGTCCCTGGGAATGCAGACCATAGCCCCTTTTTTACAGTAACTGGTGCTGTTTGCTAGTGACAGGTTTAAATTCCTTCTTTCCTAACAGAGATGTGCTCACTCCTTGTTTGGGAGAAAAGAATTAAGATGTAAAGCACCAGCGTTCACTCAGACTTGAGTATTCACACCGTGATGTGGCAGAGGGATATCGTTGTGTTCCATAACTGCAGGCTTTAAAGGTAAGGCAATCGTGCTATTAGAGAGGAGAAACAAATGTAGGCTGGCAGCAACGCAGCTCATCAGAGAGCTCCAATTCAAGTGATTCTCTTTAAGGAAATGTTTCCAGCAACTCTGAATTGATGTGGTAAATCTACAATTGAGGAAAAGGAGTTTCCCATTATAAGAGAAGAAAATGACTTAAGATCCTTCTTTTCTGAAGGTATAAGCATCCAAGCTTTAACTGCTCCTTCGGTATCAGCTTCCACTTTGACCCATGAGAGTCAGAAACCCTCCAGGCCAGTGTGACTTCAAGCCTCAGCCCATCTTTAGATGAGACACCTCACTCTCCTCAACATCTGCAAAAGATACTCCCGGGGTGTTTTACACTCACTAAAGGGAAGATAAATTAAAATAAACCCAGGAGAGCACTGAGGAAAGTCACGTTGGGCCACAGAAGAACGCACCCCGAAGGCCACCCACACTCCCCACATGGTTTTGCCTGACTGCCGATTTTGCCTGGTTTTGGGAAGCAGGGGCTGGGATAGGGAGCTTTCAGTGAATACTAAAAAGCAGCAAGTGGGAGTGGGCTGGCACGACGGGGAGCCCAGAGAGCCCTGCAAAAACCCATTCCCCATTGATCTCCAAAAAGCAAAGCAAAGCAGCCCCCGAGGACAAATGGTTTCCACGACCCAACTGAGCAGAGACCATGGGCACAGTGAGGAGCAAGAAGCCGAAAACAGAACCCATTGCCAATATCCGCAGTGCGTGCTCGAAGTTAAGCACCACTTGCCTTCATCCTTTCAAGCACGGTAATATTATGCCTACAAGCACAATTTAGCCAATATATTCCTCCCCCACGAGTTTAGTAAAGCGGAGCGGCGGGAGGCGGTGTGGAGCAAACAATCCTGCACAGCACGGCCTCCCGCTCACAACACAGCACCATGCGCTTCGCACCACCTCCTTCTGTACAACAAGCAGCAGCACAAGCTCTGCTCTCCGTCTCCTCGGAGGAAAATGAGAACATGAGGCATTTTATTCCCTGACAGTTCAATAGGAAACACCTACACGCCGGAAAGTGTTAGTATAATCTCAGCTGGTAATGACTTTCTGGAGGAGATGTAAATGGAGAGGAACAGACTGCTAATGCCGGTATTTGCCAAAGACACGAAAGGTTACATCACTCAAAAGCGTACGCCACAGCTGCACGCCCATTTTGCTGATAAAAATATGGCAATTCATTGACTGAGTAGTCAGACTTCTCTTCCCGAGGAGAGAGTCGAAGATTATACCATATGTTATACCAAATGTAATTTCCCCAGCTTTGCAGCAAAGCTTCCTTAACGACGTGTAATGAGCTATTACGGCCCAGTCTGGAAGCAGAAGCCTCGCTGACCAAATTCAATCAGCTTTCTAGCGTTTGTTCAAAAGCTGTATGACCAACACGCTTGTTATGCTAAAATATCTTCTGTTTCTTCCACAAATGCGGTGTCTATTAAATCAGCTGATGACCTTATAGATTAAAATGATTAAGTTCCTACTTGTTAGTGCTTTAGCCCACACGTCTCGAGGAAAGCGAGCGGGATTCTCTTTCAGCTCATGCCTCCGCATCAATTTTGTTTAACGAAGTTCCAAATGAAGAATCTTTATTATTAGTGACAGAGCCAGGAAAGACACAGCTTGAATTTTCGATCCCAGATGGAGTCAGCAAAGTTGGCAGCCAGAAAAGCCATCTCTTTGCTTGCAATCTGAACGCATCGGATGCGGAGTCGTTGAGTGGCAATAATGACACAGCCCCACGATGCCATTTGACACCCTCCAGCACATCGGTGTCCTTTTTAGCTGACAAAAAAAACCCCACATTTAGTGCCACCAACTGCTAAATATAACCTATTTCTATCACCCAGACCTGTTTCGCAGAGGATGCAACCAGCATAGCACTAGAAATACACTCAAAGGGAGAATACGATCAGCTTCCACTACTGTGTTATGTTTCAGGAGAAAATTTCTTCCTTCCGTTTACAATTACCTTACAGGACAGAAGCAGGGAAGAGCTGGTTTGCTTTTGAGAGGACGGCAGGAAAAGCCACGCAGCAGTTTTAATTTCAGCCTCGTTGCTTTCTAGCTGCTGTAGTTGGAGCGCAACACATCGATGAATGTTATTACATTTTTAATTGTAAGACATTTCATCGCAGAGCTCGCGCAGGGCTTGCACAAAGCGGTCTCTTCCAGTCTTAGCTGATTTTGTTGGATTTTACCACAGCAAAAAAAAAATCACCAACAGAGCCCTTGGCTACACTCTAGCAGCAAACATGCAGTGTGTCCTTCCACAAAGGCTTAATACACAACCTCTCCCTCTCCTTTGCAATATCTCTACCATTCAGGACGTATCAATCACGGTTGCAATGTCAAAGAATGAAATCTTCACCACCAAGGCTGCCCAGAAGCCTGAAGCCTTTACAAAGTGTGTTGCTCCATGGCAGTGTTCATTCACGTGAGATTTACATTCACAGAGCCCGCAAAACACTGGTTTAGGAGGAGGTACCTGCTTCTGCCCGAGATCCTCCAGCCCAGGGAAGCTGTCTCAGACACAGCACATTGTCTTCTCGCTGTCATGGTAAGGTGCTGCCTGCTTGGAGTAATTTCAGTTTCCCAGCATGGCTGAACTGGCAACAGAAAGCCTGCTTGAAGAGAAGGCTAATACAGAAAACATCCTGACTGCTATGCGTCACTTAATCTCATAAAGAGATGGATAACAAAATAAGACAGCCAGCATGGGAATCTCTGAGCGCAGAAAAGGCAGCATCTCGGCACGCACAGCAAAGGGAGCAGATTGCCTGTGGTGTTCCTGCTCCGTTTTATCATCGCCGATCAGCAGCGCCCATCGATCACGGGTTGAGGCAGAGCTTC